TGGGCACCTGGGTGGCTCAGTCGGTTAAGCCTCTGCCTTCAGCTCAGGTCATGATCTCAGGGTCCTGGAATCGAGTCCCGCATTGGGTTCCCTGCTCAGCCAGGAGCCTGCTTCTCCCTCTACCCCTCCCCCTTGCTCATGATCTCTGTCTCTCTCTCTCAAATAAATAAATAAAATCTTAAAAAAAATAACCAATAAAAAAAGATCCCTCCATCAATTAAAAAAACTGTATTAAGCACATAGGCCAATAAGGCAATACAAACCAAAATCACAGAATTTTATGAAATAGCAGTTATGAAAACAGCTTATCTGAAGCTATAACATACTGCAAAAGCAGTTGTTAGAAGAAAATATATTACATGAGTTACCTGTATCGGTAAAATTAAACATCAATTAAAAAGCTTAAAGAGGGATGCCTGGGTGGCTCAGTTGGTTAAGTGTCTGCCTTCGGCTCAGGTCATGATCTCAGGGTCCTGGGATCAAGTCCTGCTTCGGGCTCCTTGCTCAGCGGGGAGCCTGCTTCTCCTGCTCTCCCTGCTTGTACTCTCTCGCTGTCAAATAAATAAATAAAATCTTAAAAAAAAAAAAAAGCTTAAAAAAATAAGTAAACCAAAAGAAAGCAGAATGAAAGGACTATTAAAGATAAAAGCAGAGGGGCACCTGGGTGGCTCAGTCATTAAGCGTCTGCCTTCAGCTCAGGTCATGATCCCAGGATCCTGGGATCAAGTCCCGCATCGGGCTCCTTGCTCAGTGGGGAGCCTACTTCTCCCTCTGCCTGCCACTCCCCCTGCTTGTGTTCCCTCTCTTGCTGTGTGTCTCCCTGTCAAATAAATAAATAAAATCTTTTAAAAAAAGATAAAAGCAGAAATTAATGAGTTAGCAGAAAAAAATCTAAAGAGAATAAATCCATCTAATTGCTGGTTCTTAAAAAAATCAAATCAATCCAGTTCAATCCAATCCAATCAATCAAACAAACCATCAGCTAATCTAATTAGGAACAAAAAAGAAAAGGCATAAATATGGAAGATAAGAAATGACAGGGAGGAAATAGCCATTGAAACAGAAGAAAAAATAAAAACCTTAAGATACTACTTTTCCCAAGTCTAGACCAACACATTCAAAAACCAATGATGATTTCCTAGGAGGATATCATTCGCTGAAATTGACCCCAGTAAACATAAAAAATTTAAACACACGTAAGAGTTACTCCTCAAAAAGACACGGGACCCAGATGGATTCATAGCAGAATCTCCTAAACCTTCCAAGCTACTTAAAATATTCCAGAGCATAGAAAAGGGAAACTCCCACATTATTTTTAACTAGTCACATGCATGTACAAAAACCAAGAAGAATAAGTAGTCTTTGACATTTATCCACATATTTACCACTTCCAATGCTCCTCATTCCTTCCTGAAGATTCAAATTTCCATCTGGTTCCAGGCAAGAAAAGAAGAAGCGAAAAGGAGAGAAGGAATGATACCTACAGCCAGAAAGCAAAGCTTTTCCAAATACCCTTGGCAGAATTTTGCTGATGTCTCATTGGCCAGAAAACCTTGGTGTAGTTTTTAGCTGGGCATATTGCTTTTCCAAACAAATTCAAGGTTCCACTAATAAAGAATACAAGGAGAATCGTTCTTGGGTAGGAAAAAGCAGTGACTGCCACAGTCCACCCTTTTAGCTATCCGTCATGCACCCTCCCTCATGGAGATAGTGCTGAGTTCTCGGCCAGACAGTGCATCCATCTCAAAAGCCCGGATCCCTAGCCAGTAAGCAGTTTTCTCCACGTAACCCCGATGGGAAACCTTGGAGTCCAATAACCTGCAAACTAAGAGGCAAGTTATTTCCCCCCAACATATTCCATGTATAAGAGGAGAAGGAAATACAACTCCCACATAGAAGGGGAAGAATGGGAAATACATCCCCAGCCAACACCAGATGCTGCTAGACGGGAGTGACCAGGACTCCCTCCCTGATAGTAATTTCCTTACTCAGCCAATCTACTCTCTGGGAGGACATCCCTCTTAGATGGAGGCCTGCGGTCCAAGTTCCATCTTCTTTGGAGAGGACTTCTTGTCCATTGTTCTCTTCAGTCATATTGGGAGTGAACTCTGGGGAGGAGGCCCATTCTGCTGTGTGTGTTCAGGGGTCTGGGGTGAAAAATGATAAGGTGTTACTAGCCAGATTCTTAAATTCTCATTTTTGGTGATATGATTCCCTCAAAAATGTAGGCTTTCAGTCTATTTGCCTCTCATTCAGTCCTATGTGTGAGTAGCCACAGCCAAAGCTCCTATATGGCCATGATCTTTTTTTTTTTTAAGAGAGAGAGAGAGAGAGAGCACAAGTGGGGAGGGGCAGAGGGAGAGGGAGAGAGAGAATCTCAAGCAGGCTCCATGCCCCAGCATGAAGCCAGACATGGGGCTCAATCTCATGATCCTGAGATCATGACCTGAGCCAAAATCAAGAGTTGGACACTTAATCAACGGAGCCACCCAGGCGCCCTATAGCCCTGGTCTTTGAACCTGAAAGTCCTCCTCTATAATCTTCTGGCCTCTGTGTTCTGCCTATGCCTCAAGCCTTCAACTTAATGTTTACTGACTTGAGACAACTGGAAACAAAAAACTAAAAAAAGAGTGGGAAGAGAATGCTTTGCAGACCTCACTTCCTCTGTTGAGTGGTGGCTCTTAAAGGAAGGTGCTTAGGAAAGTTCCAGGACACCAGTCTTACCCTCTTCTAAGCTACTGCTTGGCAGCTACCACTCCTATTTAGAAAAGAGAAAGAACAATCCTTTTTCAGCTCTGTAAATCTCTAAATTATGAGAGGCTCCTTCAAAGATTTGCAGGCCCTAGGCAGAGTGTTTTTCCTTGGTGAAGGACCTCAGTAAACAGGTACTTCCTTCCCTTTTTCCTTCAGCTTGTATAACTCTAGTACACTGGTCTCTCTCAGGACTTTGTGGAAAGTGGAGCAAAGTGATCTGCACGTGCTAATATTCTGAATTATTCCAGCTATTTCCCCAATACAACAGACTTGGTTGGCATGTAGGGTATCTCGCATCAAAGAGCAAATAGACCCAATGTTTCACCACTGCATAAGGAGGTTGTGGGCATTCCCGTCTGCAATGTCTGCACCCTCACAGCCCAAGGCCCCATCTCTACCAGTCAGTAGAGTCCATGTTTCATGGGCTGAATTCTCTAAGTGATTGCATTTGGCTGCATTTCACAAAAACCTAACAGAGTGGCTAACCCAATAATGGGTTTACTTTTTTTCATGTTACGATGAGTCTGGCATATGCAGTCAGGGCTGGAGCAGCTGTTCATGGAATTAGGCTCCTTCTATCTTCTTTGGCCATCCGTAGTCTGTTTTGGCTTTATAATCACAAGTTCACTGTCACTCTTCTGGATGTTGTATCTGCTTTGCAGGCTGGAAGAAGGGGGTAGAGGAAGGCAGAATGCATGCACCAGTGAATCTGCCCTGTCTTTTTTTTTTTTTTTTTTTTTTTTAGTCAGGAAGTCAATCACTTTTACAAAATCAATTTTCCTAGTGAGTTTCACTTGGATCTTATTGGCCGCATTGCCACCCTTAGCTCCAGGGGAGCTGGTTTTTTTTTTTTTTTTAAGATTTTATTTATTTGTCAGAGAGAGAGCATACATGCAGAGGGAGGCAGGCAGAGGGAGAAGCAGGCTCCACCCTGAGTAGGGAGTCTGATGCAGGACTCCATCCCAGGACTCTAGCATCATGCCCTAAGCCAAAGGCAGTAGCTTAACTGACTGAGCCACCCAGGCGTCCCAGGAGCTGAATATTTTTATTCATAGGAGGTTCTGGAGGTTCTGTAAATAAGGAAGAAGAGGAGAATAGATATTGGGTAGTCAACTGGGTCTGCCAGACCAATGCAAACTATTTACGCAAGAAAAGGAATATCTTGGCTCAAGTAACTGAAAAGTCCAGTTTCTCTTCAGCTTTCCACTCTACCTTCTTCTGTGTCAGAATAATCTGAGGCTGACTCCCCTTTTGGTGCTCAGATGGCTCCCAGGGCTACAAGCTTTGTCATTCATGCCCAATAGCAAATAGAGGGTTATCAAGCTCCCAGCATTTGCAGTTGACATGCTCCACCGAAGACGGGGCTCAGAGGATGGGATGTGCTCATTGCTCAGCCTAGGTAGCAAGCTCCAAATCTAGATTTGTGGTGGAATCATCCCAGGAATTACATGGATCAGATCCCCAAATGGAAACTATAGTCTGCTAAAAAGGGGTCAGGGACCTCTGGAGAGTAAGGTAGGGAAATGGTTGATAGGAACATGATCAACAATTGTCCTCCAGGACAGCTAAAGAAAGAAGGAATCAATCAAAAGTGGATTAGTTAGCACTGGAAACAGCAAGAAAAAGGAGAGTCTCTAAAGTAACATTGACAGCATTCATCGATCCAAGCACTGGTGGGTAAGAGGAAGGCCTGGCCCAAGGTCATATCTTGTCCAGTTCCAATGGCAGATCCATTTTTACTGTGAAGGTCTTAGAAGCACACTCCTGTTACTCCCAGCCCCCATCTCTCATTCTGTGCTCTGATTCCAGCTCATCATGCAGGCTTCTGATTATATTTGACCTCCCAAGTTATTTTCTTATAGGGAGAGAGTACTCTAATCAGAGAACAAAATGCTTGGCAATACTGGTTCACAGTATAAACCAATACATCAGCCTTCTGGTTTTTATATTAATTTCTGACTCACTGTGTCTACAAAAGTTCCTTTCTGAGCCTGTGTGGCTATGAATCAGACCCTGAAGTCCTGGTGTTCCCAAGATATCTGAAAACTTGTGAGTCTATCAGCAACCAGCCAATGGGTTTCCTCTGAAGACTCCCACATCATCATATGTCCAGCCCATCACCCCCTTCTCGGGTATTGATTTGAGGTTCCATAGCATTCAGTGTCTTACACTGGAATCCCACTGTTTTATTCCTAATGTAGATAAGGCTGGGTTTGAGCTGATGCCAAGTTCTTTTTTATCTTCAGGATCTCTTGCTGGAAGCCTCATGACCTGCCTAGCTGTCCTTCTGATCCTGTAGCAGAAGTCTATGAGGCACTAAGTTGAATCTTACGTGAACAGACCCTTCAGAAAGAGGATACTCAAATGCTCATAGGAAAATGTATTCATGTTCACTAGTCATAAGGCATATGTGGATTAAAGCCAAAATGAGAAACTACTACATACCCACTGGAATGATTAAAATTAAAAGAACTGACAATACCAAGCGTTTACAAGAAAGTAGAGAAAGTGGGACTCATATATTTCTGCTGGGAGTGTAAATTGGTACAACTACTTGGGACTTCTGTTTGGCAACATATATGAAGCTGAACACTTATCCTATATCCCGGCAGTTCTACTCCTAATATATAAGAGAAATGCATGCATATGCTCACCAAAAGACATGCATAAGAATATCCACTGCAGCACCATTCCTAATAGCTCTGACTGGGAAACACCCCAAAGAGTAGAATTAATAAACACATTGTATTACAGCCAAACCATCTATACTACAAAGCAATGCAGATGACGGACTTACCACTGTTTACAACAACCGGGGAAAATCTCATTAACATAATGCTGAATGAAAGAAGCCAGACACAAAAGACTATTTTCAGTATGATTCCATTTAGAAGAAGTTCAAGACAGGCAAAACCTAATTTTTGGTGTTAGAAGTCAAGATAATGGTTATTTTTGGAGAAAGAGGTGGGCAATGACTGGAAAGGAACATGCGAGGTGCTCCCAAGTGTGGTGAATGTTCAGATTTTTGATCTGGGTGGTGATTATACCGATGTGTGCAACTTAGTGAAAATTCATCAAGTTGTACAATTATAATTTGTATACTTTTCTTGGCTAGGCTCACCGACATGTCTAGAGGTTCATCTGACACTGAGCCACCTGGGCTGGCCTCTGCTAGGGCAATTCAGGAGAATCAGCTCTGCAATGTGTGCCTGTCATCCACCATGGGCCAGCCAGGCATGGTCTCACGGTGATGGCAGAGAGGCACAAAGGGTAGTTCCCGATGTTCAAGTCCTTATCAAGCCATCATAGCTGCTAATATTCCACTGGCCAAAGCAAGTCAAATGGTGGAAACCAGAATCAAGGGGCCGGCAGGTTACTCTTCTCATGGTAGGCAGGCACTGATTGCACAGTTATGTGGTAAAGGGCATGACTACAGAGAGGGTGATGACCACAATCTCCCACAGTGTGGGAATAAGAAACCTGAAGCTAATGACAAAACAGTGAAACGCATACATAATTGAGAAGTGCAGGGTGCTTTAAGGGCACAGAAAAGGGAACATTTCATGTTTTATCTCGTACTCAAATTATTCATGAAAAAATTTATGCATGGACATATCCCTTCCAGACTATGAACTTTTTGTATGTGCTTCATATTCACATTTTCCCCCAGCTGCTGGCATAATGCCTTGCATAAAATAGGCACTTGAACATTTGTGAAATTAATGTTCAGCCATAAAGGTAGTCCTATTTATTTCAGGCTCCAGAGGAAGGAAGAGACCCACATACATAGCAATACCTATCTTTATATTTTATAGTCATTTCAGTGAGCTCATAATCTCTATTCATAGAATAGTTTCCTGTCAAGTGAAGGGTTGGAGGAGTTCCAGCCCAGTGATTGATGGGTGGGATCATTCAAATTTTGATGTGTTCCCTTTTTTGGATGGGTGTATGGTGATGGGGATCTTCACCATTTTAAAAAATTGTGATAAAATAGGGGCACCTGGGTAGCACAGTTGGTTAAGTGTCTGACTCTTGGTTTTGGCTCAGGTCGTGATCTCAGGGTTGTGGGATCAGCCCCACTTTGGACTCCGCACTCAGCAAAGAGTCTGCTTGGGATTCTCTCTCCCTTTCCCTCTGCCCCTCCCCACCAAGCATGCACACCCTCCCCCTCTCTCCCTCTCAAATAAATAAATAAATCTTTTTTAAAATTGTGGTAAAATATATATAACATGAAATTTACCATCTTAACTTTTTTTAAAGATTTTATTTATTCATTTTAGAGAGAGAGTATGTGTGCACGTGGAGGGGGAAGAAGGGGCAGAGGGAGACAGAGAAAGAGTCTCAAGCAGACTCCCATGCTGAGTGTGGAACCTGGAACCCGAAATTACAACCTGAGCCAGAATCAAGAGTTGGACACCTAACCGACTGCACCACCCAGGAGCCCCATCTTAACTTCTTTTTAAGGGTACAGTTCAGTGGCATTAAGTACATTCATATTATTGTGCAACCACCACCACCATCCATCTCTAGACTGTTACCTTCCCAAACTGAAACTCTATACCCATTAAACAATAACTCTCCATTCTCCCTGCCCCCCAGCCCCCCCAGCCCCTGGCAACCACCATTTTACTTTTTCTCTATATGAATGTGACTGTTTTAGGTACCTCATGTAAGTGGAATCATACAGTCTTTTTGTGACTGGATTATTTCACTGGCATAATGTCCTCAAGATTCATCCATGTTATGGTATATGTCAGAATTTCCTTCTTTTTATTTGAGAAACAAGGCAGAGGATCATAGGGGAAGGGAGGGGAAAATGAAACACGACGAAACCAGAGAGGGAGATAAACCATAAGAGACTCTTAATCTCAGGAAACAAACTGAGGGTTGCTGGAGTGGAGGGGGGTGGGAGGGATAGGGTGGCTGGGTGATAGACATTGGGGAGGGTATGTGCTATGGTAAGTGCTGTGAACTGTGTAAGACTGATGAATCACAGACCTGTACAAATAATACATTATTGTTAATAAAAAAAAAAAAGAAAATACAAAAAAAAAAAAGAATTTTCTTCCTTTTTAAGGCTGAATAGTATTCCACTGTATGTATATACCACATTTTGTTTAGCTATTCATCTATTGATGGACCCTTGGGTTGCTTTCCCTTTAGCTATTGTGAAGTGATGTGCTCCTTTTACATGCAAAACAAATTCCACCTAGGTATGGGAACTAGGAAGTATGAATACCCTCCACCTAGCTTGCTAACAGCATGCCCTGCTCCCATGTTCTCCTGTGGACCTGCCCCATCCAACATGCCCTGGGCAAGAATTTTCCAAAGCAGCTACAGGTCCCTTCCCACAGCAAACCAGTGCAGACCTCATTAACACCAGGTGCCCCACACCCACATTCTCTTGCAGACCTACCTGATCCAACATGTCCTCAGCAGGAGTCCATCCAACCAACTGAGCCACCCAGGTGCCCGCAGGAGTCCATCCAAAGCAGAACCACAAGCTGGGCACTATGCAAGCATCCTCAGTGGGTCAGCACCACACCAGAGGGACTCCTGCCCAGGGGAAGGGGGAAGATAACCATACACCAGTTCAGCTGTAGCCCTAGCAGTGGGCTGGGGGCAGACATCTGGTCTGACTGCAGGCCCCACCCACCAGTGAAAGATTTCAGGGGGACAACATAGGGAAGGTGCCCTGAAGTTTGGTGCTACTGCATCTCTGGCAAACACTTGGTCTGTTTCAACTTAAGTCCATGGTGGCCCCAGACTGGCCCACTAACAACACAGGGACCAAACCCTGCCCACAGCAGGCAAAGAGAACCATTGCAGACACCTGGACTGAAGACAAAGGTGGCTCAACCACAAGAGTAGGGTACACACAACACATGTAGGAGACACCCCAGAAGGGCCAGGTTCTGGTAAACAGGGGATATTGCACTATGGGGTACCATAGAACCTCTTCTTCATAAGGCCACTACTTGCAAGAGGAGACATAGCTGACTTTCCTAACGCTTAGAAACAGACACAGAGAGTTAGAGAGAATGAGGAGACAGAGGAATATGTCTCAAATGAAAGAACAGGATAAAAATCGCAGTAAGAGAGCAAAACAGAGATAAGTAATATGCCTTACAGGGAATTTAAAGTAATGGTCATAAATATACTCAATGGACTTGAGAAAAGATTGGAGGACCTCAGTGAGACCCTCAATAAAGAGACAGAAAAAATAAAAAGAACCAGTCAGAGATGGAGAACTCAATAACTGAAATTTAAAATACACAAGATGGAATAGCTAGTAGACTAGAGGAAGCAGAACAGATCAGCAACTTGGAGGTAATGGAAAGCAATCAAGCCGAATGGGAGAGAGAAAAAAGAATAATGAAAAATTAAAACAGATTAAGGGAACTCAGCGACACCATCACGCATAATAACATTTGCTTTATAGGGATCCCAGAAGGAGAAGAGAGAGAAAAGCAGGCAGAAAATGTATCTGAAGAAATTATAGCTGAAAACTTCCTGAATCAGGGCAAGGAAACAGCCATCTAGATCCATCTAGAGGCACAGAGAGCCCCCAACAAATTAACCCAAGGAGGTCCGCACCAAGACACATAGTAATTAAAATGGTAAAAAGTAGTGATAAATAGAGAATTTTATTTTATTTTATTTTTATTTATTTTTAAAGATTTTATTTATTTATTTGAGAGAGAGAGAATGAGAGAGAGAGAACACATGAGAGGGGATAAGGTCAGAGGACGAAGCAGGCTCCCCGCCGAGCAGGGAGCCCGATGCGGGACTCGATCCTGGGACTCCGGTATCATGACCTGAGCCGAAGGCAGTCGCTTAACCAACTGAGCCACCCAGGCTCCCGTAAATAGAGAATTTTAAAAAGCAGCAAGAAAACAGTTATGTAGAAGGGAAACCTCTGATAACCCAGGTTATCAGCTGATTTTTCAACAGAAACTTTGCAGGCCAGAAGGGAGTGGAATGTTATATTCAAAGTGCTGAAAGACAAAAACCTGCAACCAAGAATCTCTATACAGCAAGGCTATCATTCAGAATAGAAGGAGATAAAGAGCTTCCCAGACAAACAAAAGTTAAAGGAATTCATTAACCAACCTTACAAGAAATGTTAAAGGGGATTCTTTGAGTGGAAAAGAGAGATGATAAGCGGGGGAAGAAAAGCGGTAAAATTAAGTATATCTATAAAAATCAGTCAAGAAATTAATAAAATAAAAGAACGTAAATTATGGCACCATATACCCAAAACGTGGTGGGGAAAGGAGTAAAAGTTTAGTGCTTTTAGAATGGGTTGAAACTTAAGCAACCATCAACTTAATATAGACTGCTATATGCATAAGATGCTTTACTTAAATCTAACGGTAACCACAAATTAAAAACTGGCAAGAGATATGCAAAAAATAAAGAGAAAGGAATCCAAGTATATCACTAAAGAAATTCAGCAAACTGAGAGAAGAGAGTAAGAGAAGAAAGGAACAGAGAAGAACTACAAAAACAACCACAAAACAAGTACTAAAATAGCAGCAGTAAGTACATACCTACCAATAATTACTTAGAATGTAAATGGACTCAATGCTCACTGAAAGATATAGGGTGGGGCACCTGGGTGGCTCAGTCAGTTAAGCATCTGCCTTCTGCTCAGGTCATGATCCCAGGGTCCTGGCATAGAGCCCCACATCAGGCTCCCTACTCAATGGGGAGCCTGCTTCTCCCTCTCCCTCTGCCCCTCCCCCCACTGGTGCACACGCTCTCTCTCTCTCTCACTCTCTTGCTCCGCTCTCTCTCTCAAATAAATAAAAAAATTTTTTTTTAGAATAAGAAAGGTATAGGGTGATGGAATGGATGAAAAAGCAAGACCCATCTATATGCTGCCTACAAGAGACTCATTTCAGACCTAAAGACACCTGCAGATTGAAAGTGAAGGGATGGAAAAGCATTTAACATGCAAACAAAAGTGAAAAGAAAGCAAGGTAGCAATACTTACATCAGACAAAATAGACTTTAAAAGACTGTAATGAGACAAAAAAGGACACTATGTAATCATAAAGGGAACAATCCAACAAAAGGACAACCATTTTTTTTTTAAAGATTTTTTTATTTATTTGACAGAGAGAGAGACAGTGAGAGAGGGAACACAAGCAGGGGGAGAGGGAGAAGCAGGCTCTCCCCTGAGCAGGGAGCCTGATGTGGGGACCCTGGGATCATGACCTGAGCTGAAGGCAGCCACTTAACGACTGAGCCACCCAGGTGCCCCAAGAAGACAACCATTAAAAGGGGAGGAGTTAAGATGGCGGAGGAGTAGGGGACCCAAATTTTGTCTGGTCCCTGGAATTCAGCTAGAGAGTTAGTTATCAAATCATTCTGAACACCTGTGAAATTAACCAGGTATCTGCGAAAAGAATTGTTGCAATTCTACAAATAGAAAAGCAACCACTTTTTGCAAGGTAGGAGGTGCACAGAAGTGAATCTGAAACAATATATCAGAAGATAAACTATGGGGGGAGGGAGCCTCCATAACCTGGGTACCAGAAAGTGTTTTAAGCAACAGAGCCCAAGATCCTAACTTTTAGAAGTCTGCCTGAAAGGTGCTCGGGGGAGAAGTGGGGTGGAATCCCAGGTGGGACAGCGTGGTCTCAGGATCCCTGGGATCAATCACAAAAAGAATGGGGGTGCCTGAGTGCAGCAGAGTTCCCAAGCATCGGAGTGAGGAAGCCAGCTGCAAACAGCAAGTCCAGGCACCAACTTTCTGCTTGGTGTTGCCATAAACCAAGAACTGCTGCAGGGTGGGGCTACTGCTCTCTGAGCAGGGGCCCAGCAAGAGGCAGAACTGCAGAGAAACACCCCCTCCCTCCTTTGGGAGGAACAGCACAGGTGGGCGCTGCAGGGGTCTGCAGGGTTTGGAGACTCCAAGCTGGGTCGTGTGACTAAGATAGGTCACAGGCTGGGTGAGCACAGAGTGCTGACGGAGACCAGGGAGACGAGAGCAATTGACTGCTTTTCGGTGAGGGCTCACTGAAGTGTGTGTGTGGGGGGGGGGCGGGCACAAACTTTTAGCTCTGGGGCTAGAGGTCAGGGAGCCACCATTTTCATCCTCCCCCCCACCCCCTTGGTGCTGAAAGCCTTCAGAGAGCAAAACAGTCACATAGTGCAATCTGGAGGGAGCCGCTTACACTGAGCCTGGCCCCCTGGCAAAGAGGGTGCAATTCCACCTGGGGAAAGACACCTGAGAATCAGCATAACAGGCCTCTCCCCCCAGAAGACTAGCAGAAACATCTGGCTAATACCAAGTTTACTGATCATAGAGAGCTGCAAAACTCCAGCTCTTGGGGAATACGGTATTCATGGGTTTTTTCCTTATTATTCTTTACTCTTTCAAGTTTTATATTTTTTCTTTTACAGCTATTTTCTTATTTTATCAATTCTTTTTTTAAGTCTTTTTTAATTTTCATTTTTACATTTACATTTTATATATTTTTTTTCATTTTTGGCTTCCTTTCATTGTATTCAGTTTTATTTTTGTGTAAGTTTTTCTTGCTCTCCTATTTTGAGATCTAGTTTCTTCTAACAAACAGACCAAAATACACCCAGAATCTAGTTTATAGTTCTGTTCTGTTCTACTTCTTGTTTGATTTCTCTCTCTCCTTTTTTTTTGGTTTCTGTTCTCTTCTGATTTGTTTAGTGTATATTTTTCTGGTGTCTTGTTGCTATTTTATGTATTTTCTCTCTCTTTCATCTATTATTTTCTGGACATAATGATGAGATGGAAAAACTCACCCCAAAAGAGAGAACAGGAGGCAGTACTCACTGCCAGGGATTTAATCAATATGGATACAAGTAAGATGTGGAAATTTGAA